TGGCGTGCACGCTAGACTTCGGATCTCCCATGCCACGCGGTTAGCATCCTGTCTCGTGGGTGGCTGCCGCTGTCGCAGCCGTTCCATTGGCGTGCTCGCGTTTCGGCTGCGTCATGAGGCATTTGCATCGGATATCTCGTCCGGATTTTGCAGTCAGACGTGCTCGTCCGTCGGCCATGTCCGGCTTGTGTGACAGATCGACGCAGCGTGGCGTGGCATGCGCGGCGCGGAGGTTTTAACCACAGGCACTTGAAGCGTTTCAATAAAATATAATGCTAACTAAATACGAAATCTATTTTACTACCAAATTCTTAATGCTTTCTATACTCTCCTTTCACCTATTATTGCCGACAGTTTCCGTGATTTCGTATTTAGTTAGCATTATATTTTATTGAAAAGCTTCAAGTGCCTGTGGTTAAAACCTCCGCGCCGCGCATGCCACGCCACGCTGCGTCGATCTGTCACACAAGCCGGACATGGCCGACGGACGAGCACGTCTGACTGCAAAATCCGGACGAGATATCCGATGCAAATGCCTCATGACGCAGCCGAAGCGCGAGCACGCCAATGGAACGGCTGCGACAACGGCAGCCACCCACGAGACAGGATGCTAACCGCATGGCATGGGAGATCCGAAGTCTAGCGTGCACGCCATCTGCGTGTGATTTTTAACATTAACGCTGTGGTGGTCATATTTCGATACTAACGTCTCTGGCTTGAGGCGAACTAGGGTCAGAGCAGTCTATTCAGAGCAGAAGTGTGTACGCATGTTTGCCTTCCTAGTATTATTGTAATTGTACACTGTGTTGTTGTAAATGAAAGTACAATCGACATATATATGAGGTAACGTCAGAAATCATTACATATCATTAAAAATATTATTTCCGTTAGAAATCTCACGCACATATATACAGCGTACGCTATAGACGTCACACAGCTTTCTACATCTGATTCTCCTCTCGCCTATCAATGTAAATATATATATATAATGACCTTCAAGCACGCGCCTATCCCTGAAACTAGAAAGGGCAGTTGTCGCCTACTACATGTATCCCCCGTGTTCTCCCCAAGATGTGTAAGTATACGAAGTTTGGTCGCGCTAGGTCAATATAGGGGCCGAGTTATAGAGCGGAAGGGAAATATGATCAAGGTCAAATAAAGGTCGCAGTGACCTGGTTTTGGTACGCTGCTCACCTTCTCCCAAAGATGTGTAAGTATACCAAGTTTGGTAGCGCTAGGTCAATTAGGGGCCGAGTTAGAGAGCGGAAGGGAAATATGATCAAGGTCAAGGTAAAGGTCAAATAAAGGTCGCAGTGACCTGATTTTGGTACGCAACACACCTTCTCCCCGAGATGTGTAAGTATACCAAGTTTGGTAGCGCTAGGTCAATTAGGGGCCGAGTTAGAGAGCGGAAGGGAAATATAATCAAGGTCAAGGTAAAGGTCAAATAAAGGTCGCAGCGACCTGGTTTTGGTACGCAACACACCTTCTCCCCAAGATGTGTAAGTATACCAAGTTTGGTAGCGCTAGGTCAATTAGGGGCCGAGTTAGAGAGCGGAAAGGAAATATGATCAAGGTCAAGGTAAAGGTCAAATAAAGGTCGCAGCGACCTGGTTTTGGTACGCAACACACCTTCTCCCCAAGATGTGTAAGTATACCAAGTTTGGTAGCGCTAGGTCAATTAGGGGCCGAGTTAGAGAGCGGAAGGGAAATATGATCAAGGTCAAGGTAAAGGTCAAATAAAGGTTGCAGCGACCTGGTTTTGGTACGCAACACACCTTCTCCCCAAGATGTGTAAGTATACCAAGTTTGGTAGCGCTAGGTCAATTAGGGGCCGAATTAGAGAGCGGAAAGGAAATATGATCAAGGTCAAGGTAAAGGTC